CGTCTTGTGGCAGTCGTGCACCTGACTGCAGAGTTAGTTTTTAAGCCTCGCTTCCTGCGTGAACACGACTGCATGTTGATTACAGTCGTAGTCCGCGCACGCACCCCCCTTCTGGATCTGCCTGGCCATCCTCCGGCAGCGAGAAGGACTCGAAGCCTCTTGCCGCACGCTCGATGCCGAGGATGAGATCCGAGGACTCCTCCAATTTTGTTCAGGGCCTTTAGCAGCTACCAGGCCAGAGCGATTTCTTCTCAATTCAATCATTTCCGCTGAAATGCGGCTAGCGACCAACTTACTGCGGCAAGGGCCATTCTCTTTCCACAGCTCGATACCTGGCCTCAGACTTGCGGCGTAAGTGGATCCGCGCCTTTGTGAAGCCACCTTCAACTCCGCGACTAAGCGTAACGTCAGCTTGAAAATTACAAGTACCACGAAGCACACCGCTCTGCCAACGATCAGGTCGGGAGTTAAGTCTTCTTCCTGAGTCTTTGCTCCGAAACCTCTCTCCCGGAACAGAAACTCAATCCAGGGCTAATGGGGTGACCCCACTCCCGTCCAGGCATTTAAATTTGCTGTTTACGCCAGCTCGTGCTGACATGCAAGACGGAATGTCTGAAAGATTCTGAGCAAAGAGTGCTGGTGGGCATTTGCGACAGTAACTCTCAAAGAGTCAGACTCTCATAATGTAGCTTTTTGCGACGTGTCATGGACTCATCCCTTGTCTATCTCCGGCAAGCACGACTCCTGCCAGCCAACTGTTTCGTATGATCTGCATGTGAACGTCGGGAAGGACTCAGGGAAGGGACACACAAGGTGAAATCTAAAGTCCAAACATGTCCTAACAGTCGAACTGATATGTGTTGCAGCTTCACAACATTGTCTCAACCTTGCAGGACCCGGTTTTCAGGCATCCCTTGGCAGAATCCAAATGAGTTTCGCGGCCCTTTGCCCTGGCAAGGGGCCGGGCAGCGCGTAGGCGTGCGGCCCAGAGAAACTGACCTTCAGCCACTTCAGTCACTTCAGTCTTCGACTCGCCGCGCCACTTGCGTCTTCTGCTAAGCACTGCGACATCGTACCGAATGCAGCTGTGCAGCAGTCGCCAGGTGTGCCATAGAAATTTGCGAACACAAAGCCGAAATGACACCTGAACATCTGGGATATCATGTGGCAGTTCTCCATCTCTGCCGCGGCATGTGCAAAGCTATGGGTTGGACCGTTTGGCTATGAGTTCATGCGAGTTGCACCTTCATGGATCTTCATGGGGTGTTTGAGGATGGGGGAGTACCTTTGTTGGTGCTCGGGCATTGGGGATTCTTGTGGTCGAGGGGATTGAAGCCATATGCTTGTCCATTGACAGGGTATCTGCGAGCTAGGCCTTTAGGTTCAAAGAGGTAGTTTAGTGGTGTTGAACTCTTCCGAAGTTCTGGACAGTTTGGGTACTAGAACGAGCACTTGGGTGGCTCACGGGCGCAATGAGCGGATGCGCCTGGACTTGTTCAGGCCTGGGGTTTACATGGGTGCCTTGATGGAGCGACCGACGGCCTTTGCCTGAGGTCCTCTCTCAACTGCTGGGTATTGGTGGTCGACCGCACGACGATCTGAGATAAGGTTAACATGACGTTGATGCTAATGGCGACGTTCAGCTGTTCGTGCTCTGGCATGCTGCCATTCGTGTTGTTGTTGCTGGCTTTGAAGCCGCTGGGATATGACAGCTCATCTAGACGTGACATTTCCAGGCGACTGGTTTGCCTGGTGTTTGTTTGATCGAAGCTTGATTTATTCATGTCTTTGGTGGCTTACAGAAAAGCTGTACATATCAAGGGCTATGCCGGTGCAGACAGGTGGAGCTTTTTGCCACAGCACCCTGAGCAGTGTTGCCCGAGAGGTGAGGATGCATGTTACGGTACGTGGACAAAGCTGCCCATGTCTGAGACGGCCCTGCTTGCGGACACCCAGCCCTGAGATGCCTTGAGTCTTGACCACTCAGCCTTCCAAGAAATTCCATAGATGCCATAGATATCTTGCTGACCCAGTGGGCAAGGCACGAACTCCCGCAGCGCTGCAGGAGCACTCCTCGCCTTGGGATCCGCTTTCACCAAAGCATGACTTATGACTAGTGTTACGAGTAAGATGGTGGTTCCCGGAACTGAGTCCGCTTCTGATCTGCTCGGCGAAGCTTTGCCGAGCCTCAAACAAAATTTGCAACGCAGCTTCACCCTCTGTTGTTCAAGCTGCCTGAAACACGCTGTTTCTGTGCCCCGGACGCTGGCGATGTCGCCAGAGTCTGCGGCTTGCCCAGGCTGGTAGGTGCAGCTACCAATCTCAGGGGCCGCGATTTCCAGATTGCAGGCTGTCTGTTCTGTCGAATAATAATAAGTCATGAGTGCATGACTTGATGCGACGAAACGTGGGATCAAGGGCACAGCATCCAAAGCCCACGGAACAAAAAGCCACCAGAACCTGGTAAGTGCATCGATCGAAGTCCTGGCCACACATGAGAGCCGCACCAAACAAACAAGCCTCATGTCCCCGAAACGAAGCAAACTCTGTGGGGCTGACTCTGATTAGGCGCAGGTCTAAGGCTGCAAGCTGCTGGAATGCAAAACCTTCATGAACTATGGAGAAGCCTTGCCCAGGTTTCACCCTCCATTGTCACGACAGCTTCGCGCACGTGCTTCCTTGCCCTCTGCTGCACTGGCACATGTGCTTTGTTCGCGTAGATCTTGGCAGAATCTACGCTTAGCTAATGCCGGTCCTTCAGGCACTGAGGATGCACATCTTCCGCCGTGCCAGGCTCGCTGAGCCTTTCCAGACTGGTCTCCTTGAACAAAGCGTTGGCCTTCACAACTTGCTGCGGGCATCACTCTCCACATGCGGGCCAAGAATCTCTTCTGTTCATGTTGATTGAGTACGTAGTGTAGGTTGGTTTGAATGCAATGCCACAGCCAAAGTCCGTTAGTTGACTCGCTGGCCTCGTCCTGCAGAGCGGCATGAAGCCGCTCGCGCCGACTCTGTGCAAATGCCTGCAGCCGCCTGCTGAAACCAAACGTTCTCAGGCATGACCCAACTCGGTGATTCCACACCAGAACACGGAAGTGCCTTTTTCATGCAACAGCATGGCAAACCGACCACTACACTGTTCGGCCGCATAGCCTTGCCCCAGTGCTGCGCCGACAGCAGAAGCCCATCCGCATGCGGCAGACACGTGTTAGTCGGATAGCCCGAGTCTATGGCTGACTGTATTTACATCGGTGGCTGGGTGCAGTTTGCATGATCTTGGTCGCTCAAGCTCAGGCCCAGCAGAGAACGGAAGCTTGTGCCAACTGGCGACCTGATGCCCGACACGCGAGTCTCTGAGCTTCCCACATCGCTGTCATTCTCAACCAATGGCTGCATTAAGTGAATCTTCTGCACCCCCGCGCGACCCGACTTGTCCAGACTGGCACGGCAAGTGGCCAAGTACCTGTTTCTTGCAACAATCACAATCACTTCTCACAAGCTTCAGCCCCCTTTGCGGACCCCTGCACATCGGCATCGAAGTGCGTCCGAACCTGGTAACGCCGCTGCAGCGCCTGCTCAAGTCACGACGGAACTGCAATGGTGCTGTGACCACCTGGAGGTTGTAGCCTCCACGGCTCCCGCACCCAAGCGAGCCCGAGGACCATCCTCCTGGTCCGTTCCATGATTCGTTGCATTCTCTGCAGCCTGAATCAAGCTTTGCCTCGTCAGCACGGAGCCGCCTGCCTAGGCCCACCACGAGGACCTGCCGAAACAAGACGCCGGCTGGCCCAGACTCCGCGCTGCGACTGCTTTTTGCACCTCCGGCGCCGCAATCGCCTGAGGTCCTGGAGGTGCCCAGAGGCCCTGCAGCAGATTGCATCAGTGCCACCAAGCAGAATGTCTGCAACTGTGTGGTAAACAGCAAGTGAGACGATGAGAAGTGAAGGTGAACACCCGATAGAAGCTGGTTGGCATGTCGCACGCTAAAGGCACTCGTTGTCAAGCTCTTGTTCGAGAATCTCTGGGACTCTGGGATCCACACGAATCATCGAAAAGAGCATCATGTCATGAGTGCTGACGGCACGTTCTAACTTACGCAAGCCGTTTCCGGTCCACCTGCGGTCCTTTCCCTTCCCTAGCATTTGCCTTGCGATCTCTCGGTGGAGCTTGCGGTCGAATGGGGTCATCGGGGTCCTGGTTGAAATGAAATCACAGGAATGTCGGCATGAAAGTACATCATTCACTGCCCCTTGTCCGCAGCAAAGGTCCTCATAGCGGCTGAGCTCCTTCACCATCCGCTTCTCCGGCCGATCAGGAATGTCGATGGAGGTATCGAGCTGTGGCACGGGCAGGGCGTGGCAAAGCATCCAGAAAACAGGCGAGTGGCTGTGGGATGCAGGGCATCAAAGCCGGGGTGACATCGTGAATTGGTATGTGGAAAGTGTTGCCCCACGCAGTACAATCACCAACTCAACTCGCTGATTATTTACAGAACCCAGAATTCAAACTCTTCTCTATTGTGCCCCAACCTCCAAGCCGGGAGGAAAGTTGTAGGCCACTGTGCGACCTGCACAGGATCTCGCGTCTGCGTGCTCATTCCTGGTATAATGATACAACTCGATTTCCTCGAACTGGACGCGTGAAACCAAAGCGTTGGAGTCTCGAAAGACCGGCTGCTACAAATGCCAGCTGGACCTCTGCTGACATTTTACTCCGCTCAACATAAACTCTAACACGAATCTGCAACACTGATTGCGTTACAGTTGACATTGGGATGGAACAGTATGGAGCTGAAGGGCTCTCCAGGCATTCCCCCAACACTGTTTCCGACATGTGGCTTGGTGGAGAGCTACATGTCGACCCTGCAGGCTATGTCGCCAGCTGACCATGCCTCCCCACCGTTGCCGGCAAGACCGACGGCAGAATCGGAGAGTGCAAAGCACAGCCGGCGCAGTTACACCTAGTGTCAGCTGACAGTGGAGAATCTCGAAAAGCAAAGTCGGTGCCTACACAGGCTCATGTCTTAGGCAATGTTTGCCTACAAATGTGCCTTGATGAAATCTGCTTCGCATCTTGCTTCCGCTCGAACTGCTGCTGCCACCTGGCAGAAGATCCCTTTCCGTTTGAGTCGATGTCACGTGAGTGGCTTCTCTTAGAGAACCTGTCGGCAATCAATTCAAGGATCAACATCGACCCATGCCTGCGGTCCACCCTGGCAGCTTCGTCGGTGGTGGCTCTCTCCGTGGCAGTAGAACCTGCTTCTAAGCTTGCCTAAGCTGGCATTAACAGAATAACTCTCGATGAAAGCAACAATTCATCGAACCTGCATACGCAGTGCTGGCACACTGCTACACATCATGGCAGCAACGGGCCCATCACCATAATTACAGACATGCAGGGCTGCACGCAGGAGAGATCAGAGGCAGGGTCCGTACCTGAGCCCCCGGAGGACGCCCCGTGCGCAGCTCCATTGAAGTGGAGAAGGGAAGCCTGCACACTGCGTATTGCGTCTTTATCGGGGCCGACATGCCGGACCACTCTGCTGTTCGGTCTCGACACAGCTATCGCAAGCATAAACGCCGCTCGCTATCACGAGTTGTCCCGTCTGCCGGTGGCCTGGACAAAATCTCAGCAGCTTGGTGAACTGCCAGAGTTCGAGCCAATCCGGACGGAGGCTGGGGCAATGCAATTTGGGAGACAGGTCGTTGCTGCAAAGACTTTTCGATAAACCTTACGAAGCTTGCCAAATTTAATTGAAATCAGCAAAGCGTCACAGTATCACGACTCGTGTTCGGCCTGTGCACTTGCACGAGCGTTGCGAAGCCAGATCCCAATTAGCCATGACCCTCCAAAGGCACTCTGAGGCGGCATGCTGCAGCATGCTGCGTGCGTCTCCTGAGTGACGATGTAGCCCACGCCCCATTTCGAGTCAAAGGTGCAGACTTCAACTGCTGACCTCGTGCAGATGGAGCCCACTAGGAGGAGTGTACGGTCTATAGCCGAGCTGCTTCCAACACGATATGCGACGAATTGGAAACTGCTACAGGTGGATTGAGGCAGTTATCCCCTGGCCTTCCGAACTCCTATTGAAATCATGGGCATTGTGCAGATTGCTCGAGCTCGTGTCGCACGGCCCATGATGCTGCGCGCTGCCGAGGATTGGACCCTGGCTTCCACTGGTCCCGTGTACGGGCCTGGCAAGCAATACAGGAGCGAGTCGAGACTGTCGCACTCACTCGTGCATGAGACGACCCACAGTACAGAAGGGCATCCTCGCTCATCCCTATGCAAAGCATGCATTAGTGCATCAGGCGTGCAGTTGCAGTATCATGGCGAACAGCGATTCTGCGGAAGACGTCTCACAGGCCTTCAGCAGTTGAGGATCCTCCAACATCATTGGCACCTCTACCAATCCTTGACAATTCCAACAAGAACCAGCACCACGTTTCCAGAATGAAAAAGGCTTCTTGCAGTCCCGGCACCTTGGCATGCGTGTCAATGCATGTGCTCCGTGACTCTGAGAAGTGTCGTTGCTACAATGGACAAGAATGTAAGATAGTGTTCATGTTTGACGTTCCAGCAGTTCGGGAGCCTGGAAATCAATGTTGCTAAGCTGACATGTCCAGAGCAGCGGTACTCTGCCACTGCATATAATTGCATAAACGCTGCTGCTCAATATGTTTTCGAACCGAAGCATTGCTGCACACAAATTGCTGCCGGCAGTAATTAGCGCAACTGATGGCTGTGCTGCCAGTCAACAGAATTTCTGCGTGCATCAATACCCAACACGTCGACCAATGCAGGGCGAGATTTCTCGATCGCGATTGTTCAGTGGTAGTCTCTGTCGGAGAGAGTGCCTTGCCCCCTGCTAGAATTCATTAAGCAAAGCCATGGCAAAGCCCAGGCCTTCGATGTGTTCGTCAAGTTATACTAAGACGGAGGAAAGTGGTACTGACGGTACAAGGGCCGAAGCGAGCGAGCTCGAATTGAACTTGACCCCCGTGAATGTGGCTCAGTGGCCTTCGGCAGATGAAAACCAGGGCAGTAGTGTACCAATCAATCTCAGCCCGAAAAGTCTCGAAGGGCACAGGTGCGAGGTGGAATTTCCGTTAAACTACAGAGAACAAACTCCGTCGTGGCTTGACAAGTTTACATGATGAATCCGGCGTCAGAACCTGCAAACCAGCTGGACTGAACTTCGCAGGACATGCAGAAGAGGCAGTTTTTGGCCAAGCTCATGCTGCTGCATGCCAGCCACGTCCCTGAAGCCAAGGTCGCGCAAAGGAGCGATTTCGGAAGGATGCGCCCCTCCAGCTCGACATTAACATTTGTCTGCAGGATCCTTCTATTTCCCGTGATGAACAACTGCTCAGAAATTTCACAGCCTCTTCCATGACGTTACAAGCAACTGCAGACACCCTGAACAGTTGCTGCTTCACTCATTTGGCAGCACGCCTTTGGATCGGCACCGCTCCTCCACGCAGGACGGACGGTGTTCTTCCGAATTCGAAACGCGATGCTCCGGAGGCCTGGAGGTCCTTGCGACGATCCGCACTCCAGTCCTGGAGCTGTGCATCTTCAGGACGGCAATCCCCCAAAAATAGCAAGCTTGAACAACTGCAACATCTCGTGCCTTGGGAGCAAGTATCGAACAAGCAAGAACCTACAGTATCACAGCCAAGCATCTTTTTAATCGAACGTACTTAGAGGAATGTTACTGATTATTGGCACCTGCCTTGGTTGGGTTGATGGCAAGTGCAATCTCCTGTTCCAATCCTCCGGTGTGGGATCCCCTCAAATTGTGCGCCACTCGCACTTTCTTACAGCGTTGTCGCGAAAAACTGTTTTTGATGCCTCCAAGCACGGCTTCCCTGTATACCAACACCCGTACTCATGCATGTGGTGAGGGCAGAGCAAAGAGTTGGGACGGAACAACGCACAAGCAGCATCTGATACCACTCGCAAATCCACCCAGCAGCGAAAATTTCTCTCTCTCTAGGTGCAAGGTTCTGAAACATGCAAATGCAGAACGGCTTCACCCGGCAAAACGGGTTTACTTGCTACCGCGGCTGCAAACACAACCTCAGTGGCTCAGCGGCCACGAGGTCGCACGGAACGAACTAGTCTTGCAGGAGTGGCCATGGAATTTTTTACCTGAGACCAGCGCTTTTGTGACTTACAACCTACACGGATGTTGGCTGCAGGGCTGCAGCTTTTGCACGCCCCGCATTGCCTTCCCGTTCTCGCGTTAAACCTTGCGTTCTGTCGACCGCGCAGGTTAGTGTGACGGTGTATTCCAAGTTTTCTTCGCGGCTTACGGCCCACACACCCACTGCCTGGTTGGCAGGAAATCCCAGCGCCACTTAAAGCTCATTATCCGACTGCTGATTGGTAGGGGATTTGGAGCAAACTAATGTGTTGTGTCGCGAGCTGTTGGCCATGACACCCAAGCATTACACTCATTACACCATCAGCCTCCGCAACCTCAGTCTGACTGAGCTCTCGCAGGTTAGTCTTCTTCCCTTCCTGATATCAGGCCCTGCTTGCGGATTCCCGGATCATCTCGAATCTCGAATCTACTCGTCTAAGAGTTTTCCTTTGAAGGTTCCAAGCTGCAGAACTGAACGTCCAAGCAAGTCAATAGGCCTTCGGATGTGCCCACAACCTGGAATTCTCTGTCCTGGTTTTCCCGCTGGATCTCTGCTTTTTCCTGCTGCCAAGACAAAAGGAAGTGCGATGTGGTTGAGAGGACCGCATCCCGCAGGAAGATTACTGTCACTGCTGTCTCCGAGCTTGCCAACATGCCTCTTGGCTCAGATTCCGCACAAAGCTCACGAGGTCGTTGTAGTGCGACTTTAGGGTGTCCAATGAGGCTCCCTGACGGAAACGGGGTCAACGATGCTGGTTGGCCTAGACGGCCGGGCTTTGGTGTGGCGGAGCCTCGTTCGCAAGCGAGTTGTCCAGAGTATTCAGGAAATAATTGTACCTGCAGCAAGGAGCAGAAGCTGACGCTCCAGGACTCAGGCGGTCTGAGCCGTCGTCCCTCCCATGGCCTCAGCACCAGGCTCTGCCTCGGCTCAGTTCACAGCGATGCATCTCCTACCCCCGCATGATCCTATATGGTGCAGTCGTGAGACAAATTTCTCGAGCCAGCGCCACTCATGGCACCGCGATGAATTCTGTCTGCTCACAGTCGCACACTTGGTCTCCCTCTCGCGGACATGACTCGTTGAAAGACTGCAGAAAATGCGACTTGAGCATGACAGTGTGCGTCCGCGACGCAATCACAGCCAGTACATCATGTCCTGCTCTAATCAAAGCAAACAGCTGTCCAAGCGGTGTGATGTGTGAAGAGCTTGAAGAGTCCGTGTGATGTGGGGCACCATTCGTAGCAGTGCGAAAGTTCCCGTGTCTACATTGCCATGCCCTTTAAACAACGCAACTTTGAGGGAGCGACACGACGGTCAGAACAGGAGGAGCACAAGCGCTGCGCAGGAATGCAGTTGCAGCGCGCTGCAGCGAGCAAGCCTTCCACACACGTTTGTTTTCTCCAGCAGGGGCTGCCTTTTTTGCGAATTCAAAGCTCTTGCTTGCCAGGACTTGGTGCTCCGCTGGCTCTCAGCTCAACTTTGGCAGCCTGGCGCTTGGAGGACAGGGCCGAGTGAGACGAGGGAATCTGATGTGTTTGGCTTTTGGAAGTCTAGCACCCACACGGCCCGTGTGCCTCGATAGCTGCTTTCAGAGCGTTTTTGAAGGCCTGAAAGCAGAGTCAAAGCATTCCGCTCTCGTCTTTCGTGCTTTCGGGCCTGGCGGTAGGCCAAGGCCATCCGGCGATGTCTCTTGCCGATTTGGAGTTTCATGTCGAAGGAGAAGGGCCTGAGTCATGGGCAGAGGTGGGGCCGCGGGGCGGCTGGGCAAAAGTGACTGACTTGATAACCAAGCGGCTGCTCGTCGGTTCCCGGACCGTAGATCATACCCAGGCGGGCCTCACGAACCTGACGTTTTTATCGTTTTGAAAAGGGCAGGACATTCGTAATGTTGTGGACCACACCTGCAGATCCTCGAGTAAAGCAGAGCCATCTTCCACCAAGCCGGTGAGGTTCGTGCCTGGACTGTCTGAACTCTTGCAGCACTATGCTGCACTCTTGTTTAACCCTTGGACGACTTTGTCTTGAGGCTCTCCACCCCAACTGCCAGCTGTCACAGCGTACCCTGGATACTCTTTAGCGCTTGCGCTCGGTTGAGCAGTTTCTGTTCATTGTGCAGTTGCAGTTTTTGTTCACACCTAGCTCCCGGCCGGGACCATGGTCGTCGGTGTCCGCAAACCAGCTCGGCGTGCCTTTTGGATCGCAAGTGTGCAACTACAACATGCCGGCAAATACAGCGGACTGCTGTTGAAGAATTCTGAAACGTCTGGTCTGGAGTTGTGGGTCAGCTGAGGCTCCCTTTGCATCCATCTGTATCCATGCATGGCGTGTGCCCGATGCTGCGCTGTCAAACCACCACATCACTGGAGGGTCTTCCATGAAGCCATAGTTCCTGTGACATGTCGCGCTGCGCAGTGAGCATTCAGAGCTGTGTTGTGAAGAAGCTCGGGCCCCATGAATGAACCCAAGTCCTGAAAATTTCAGCCGCTCCGTCAAAGTCATCGGCGTGCATGCCGGCGGCCTGAAAACCGTCTGAGATTTCAGCAACTTGACTTGCCCGTTGTATATCTGCCCCTGGTCAGCTGAAGGCTCCCATTGACCCCAAACACCAACACTGGTATCAGCAAAATGCAGAGCAGCAGCCAAAGTAGGGCGAAACGCCACTCCATTCCTCGTGCGGCGCGCAGACCGCATGCTGTGGAGTTTCACTCTTAGCGTGGAACCGTTCGTGCCAAGGCACACTATTGAATTCAGAACCTCGCTGCCGGCTTTGATGGCAGACGATGAGCGGATCCAGAAGGTTCCTGTAACTGCACTCAAGACGCCATCAGAGGTCTGGGTTGAAGGGCTTGAAGCGCACCTCTGCCGTGGGGCTTCATAACGTCTTCTTGATCAAATCCGTGCCATGTCATGTTGTATCCTAGGTTCAAGATGCTCTCGAGACACATTCAGCGAGCGCCCTGTCGAACCACCCTACTATGCATCCTCGCGAAGTAAGCGCACCACCATGATTCATAATGTCGGCAACAGGGGTCATGCCTGTCCAGCAAACTCAAACATATCATGCATGACAGAGCATCAGCTGGCCGGATTTGGGATTCGCGGGCCAACCCACCAGACACACATAGCAGATTCTTTGCAGCCTGCACAACCGACAGAACAGCGCTTCGTGGTCAGACAGTTCGGGAGTCGCGCAACTGACTATGCACAGCGCTTGCAGCAGCTGGACAGAGTATTAAAGCCCTCAGCTGGACCCAGCTACCAAGACATGCGTGTGGCAGTGTATGGGACACAGCAAGATGGCTGCACCTGCAAAGACTGCGGCACTGTGCAGCATGGTCTGAGGGCGGAACCTAATGGTCCGGCCCGGGTGTGGTACAGAAGCAAAGCCCGCAAAGCCAAAGCGTCTCCATCCTTGCAGTTCGGCGGTATGAATGGCAAAAAATGCATAGACCAGTAGACAAACAGATAAATACGAGAATGACTGACAGACAAAGAAAAGGATGTAACCAGCAATCGCAGGAACGGCTTTGCCGCTTGCCTGCTCACGGGGACAACTGAGCTCCTTCACTAGAGTTAGGCTGTTGCAGTGTGCGTGAACATCTGTGTCGAGTGATGACAAGGTTGTCTGCTCTTCCTGATGAAGCTTTCTATGCTGGATGTGTGTTCACGGATCCTGAGTGCTAATATCACGAAGCACCACGAATCATTGCGACTCGGCAGCACTCTCCAGGCAATCCTTGAAGTATTGCTGAGTGTAGCTTTGCCAGCCTCCAAAGCCGCCAGCTCAAGTCTCACTAGGAACTTGTAAAATCTCAACATCGCCAAGAAGCCGCCCTTTGGTGTTGGAAGCCCGTCCAGCAATGCCAAATCTTCCAGTGACCAAACTGCCGGCAGGGAGATCTCGATCTCATGCAGCGTTTTGAGATACGGCCAGTAGAAAGAGCATGGACCCTTCTGCAGCTCGTTGCGGAGGCGCTTGATGGCCAAGCACGGTGATCGGCCATCCAAGATAATCACTTCGGATGGCAGGGACACCAAAACCTCCGAGATCTCTATGTCCTCCGTTGCGAAAAGACCTCTCCCCAGCTGGCCATAGTCGATGCGGAGGCGTGGGTCGATGAAGCCGCCGTTACCTGACAGGTCTTAGTCGAGCACCTCTGCTGACCGCTGTCGTCAACATGCTCTTTGCCGTCCCCTCTTGTTGCAGCTTCTGCCTACTGTAGCCTGCACACCCTGTCTACCTGCATTCCTGCATCATCCTGCATCATCCTGCATCAATGCGGAACTGCCGCTCCGCGGCATACATGTAGCACAAGCTTCACTTTCACGCACCTCGCATCTCAAAAGAATGCAACCCGCAAAACTTGCAGTCCCTCGTTCCAGCTCATCCCGGACACTTCCAACCCCTTCGCCGCCCTGCGCCCCAGAAACCCAGATCCTCTTTTGCAACCTTACAGGATGCAATGCAATCATCTAGGAATCTAGGCTTGGTCTAGTATCAAAGTCAACGATCGGAGCTCACTGAATGTATGTGAATGTACTGAATCGGCCCCGAGGTGCTGCTGAGCCATTCGACCAGGCTCTGCTGTGGGTCTGGGCAGCTGGAAGCTTTGGGGAGCGCTGTACATCCGAGCACGCAGTCGGCTTCAAAGCCATCTGGGCAGGTCATCCAGAGCTCCTCTCCGTCGTGAGTACACGCAGTGAGAGCAGCGCATCCCAGCGAGTTCTCCTTGCTGTAATGGAGCTGTGTGCCTCGGGCCATTGTCGATTCAATTCTTGTTTTATGAACTATGGAAGTCTTGCATGATGCCGATGGTCTTGAATGTCCGTAACCGCAGCTTGGGGGGGATGACTGCCGACAGGTGGCAAGCCGCGGCCAACGCTGAGGTGTTGGAAAGACTAATCCAGTTCACGGGACGTGCTGGGCCATCGCAGCATTGGTCTGGAGGCGGGTGCACCCCGCGCACGCCAGCCAGTAGCACAGTACTGAGGCACAGCACCCGTGCTTTCATGCTGTGCTGCACCGAACACAGTGACTGCCGAGTGGTACACTACAGGCGCAAGTTCTCATGTCAAATGGCAGTTCAGGCTACTCTGATGACTCGATTTCTGACTGGGTTGTCATTGTTTTCCCCCGTTGACATTCGAGCATCAGCCAGGTTCACTATTGAAATCTAATATTGGGTTGAGGTTGCGGTGTCAGTCAGTCTTGCGCTGTCCTGAGCAGCGTCACTGTGAAGCAGCATCGATCGGTCAGTTTGTCGGTCGGTCTGTATGGTCTGTCGCATGTCAATTTTTCGCCGCACAGCTGTGTCAAGAACGGTCAGACGGAGCTGCCAATTCAGTGATTCCTCGCGAAGCCTTCAATTGATCAAGGGCTCGCCGGCACATGAGAACTCTGACACACACACGCACACACACACACACACACTGATCATGTTGCTCTCGCAAGTGCCTGTAGATCTATGCAGGAAGCCTCGGCCTTGCCCACGAGCTGCTCCAGAATGGACGCCAGCTCTGAATTCAGTGGAGAAGTGACGATGTGCCGTCTCCCTGCAATGTCCTTACTGCGCAGATGTCATGTCTGCTGCAGCATGCCAGTTTCAGGCAAAACCTCACACGTTCTGTAGCTTGAAACATAATAAATTCCGAAGTCGAGACAGAGCGATGCTCAAGACACCCACTTGATAGAAGGAAATCCAACATCCATCGCGAGGAAACTTACACATCCAACATTCTGCAGGGTGGCACTTCAACACGACCGAGCATCATAGAACACGAGGCGATGCCGATGCAAGCAGTTGTGACGAGAAATAACCATGTCGGAAGTGTAGGTCGCTGTGCTCGAATACTTGCCTGGAGCGCATGAACAGGTTCTAAGACAGAAAGTGAAAAGCTTGTCCATGCAACTACTGCAATGCAGCAAATTCTCGAAGTCTTTCTCCTCTTCGAGCAAGGTGCCATCTCTAAGTAGTGGATGACCGATGTGCGCACTGTGGCTGCGGATCTGATGCTGCCGACCCGTTATGATTTCAATCGCCAAAACGCTGACCGATGTGTGCAACACGGATCCGTGCTCAACGCACTTGACCTCGCGTCGGGATGCAACCCACGCTACCTTCTTACTTGTGACTCCTTTGTAAATAAACTACCGTGCACTTCATCATTCCGTACTAGTACTTCCCTTCTACAAGACAGGGCCAAAATCACAAACAAAGCTGACGACCAAAGTGTTGTGCACAGTGCCCGCCTTGGTCCAGGATGGTTTCCCACGACCGCCTGCTCGGGTCGTTGGCGCCGTCCTGCGGGCGGAGGGGTGCAATGCACACTTGGCATGATGAGGACGTCAGCCTAGTTAGCGCTCAATCGCCCATGTCGGGTTGGAGAACCACCCATGTCGCATCAAGGACACCCGAATCACTAAGCACCCAGGTAGACCTATATCACGACAGTGTACCAAAAAATCAGGATCCACCCTGAGTTCTCCAAACAGCAAATCGACTTTATGCGCTGAGGTTATGGTTTTGGTTGTTAAGTGACACAAAACACTCGAAACAGAACACCTGCATACTGTCAACTGCAATGCTTTCTCAAGCGTCTCTCCTGTTCTCCTTTCTTGTCTCTCTCTCTATCTCTGAAAAAAATTCCTGATCCCTCTACTCGTTTTGAAGCAGTGATGAGTAAACAGCTATAAATCAACAAAATTCATGAAGAAAAGGAGAGAGGGAAAAACCGAGAAAGAGAGAGATGTAGATAGATAGGTAGATGGATAGACAGACAAGCAGATAGGTTCATGGAGAAATAGATTCAGCTACACAGGTCCAAAAGCCATTCATTGTTGGGCCATAAAGACAAACATACTTGTAAATTTTGCTACAGGGGCGTATTTTCTTGATGTGCAAGAAGGGAGGGCCAGGCAGCACCCAGCCAGGGCCGGGGCAGGGCCTTCAGAACTTTTTAGGGCCTTCCCCAGCTGGAAGAACAAGAAAACAAACCCTTGGCATTTTAGTATTCACAGTGAGCTCGACTACCCCCAAGCACTTGTCCATTTTGAGCCTACTGGTGCGAATAAGTAATCAACTACTCACACTACGATAAAGCCTGGGAGTGTCAATAGATGATAAAAAAGCCAGGGTAGCGGGGTACCCTCTCCACTCATCTACAGGATTCCGTAGCCGAGAGCACTTCGGGCAAAGATTGCAAATGTCCCCGCACCTCCAGTAAAGCTGGGCCTGGATGTCCCGCGATCGCTGCCAACCGTGCGCCAGGCCAATGTAGTCTCTCAGGAGCCCTCAGCTTAGAGCTCCCAAGATAACAGCAACTTGGTGACTCACCCCTCCGCCCTGCCTGTTTGGCCGGCGTATTCAACGACTATGAGAATCACAAGGTCCTTTGTCGGGTAAAGCAGAGTTTGGCTAAGGTTCGATTGGAAGAGAGCTGCACGGAGAGGTGGAGGAAGGCCTCGTATCCCTTCGCCTCACATGCGCACAATAAGCTCTGCCGGCTTTGGATCGTGTCTACAAGACTTCATGCTTGTCCCACTCTTCTTCGTTACTTACTTCTTTCTTTCGCCAGGCTATGGTGTTACCTCCTCTCTCTCCCTATACGTCACGCTCCAGTACTCCTTACAGCATGACCATGCAGAAGCATGCCATTCATCAGGAGATCCCTGCGAATGCCCACGTACGAGGACCCAACTAACCATCAAACATGACTGTTCAACATGAGCTCAACTAACTTCAAAGTTCAAAGTGTCCCGCCAGCAAGAGGAGTCCGGAACTTGGCACGTCCAAGCGATGAAGGAATCCTCGAAGGGCACAACAGGAAGTGCGGAAGTGCCGTGCCAGGCTAGGTCATGCATCGAAAAATCATGACAACAGGATGTGCGTTTGAGCAAGTATTGAGTCAGAGCAGCCGCAGCCGAAGGCTGGGTCTGATAGGATGGGTGCATTGTATGCAAACGCCTCCTTCAGGAAGTCCGAAAGCTGGTGCCTGCATCGCAAAAAACGACTACAGCACTGTCAGATTACCGTCATTGCCGCGCGGTTTCTGGGCTTCGATCCCAGCTGCTCGGTGCTTCCGTCGTAGACCTCCCAGTCTACTGGCTTCGACACCACCAAGCGGTCTTCAAGCTCAAGCTCCACAGCCGGATACATCTCGGGCTCCTGGCAGGACAAGGCCGCGGCTCTCTGAGGCTCGCTTTTTCTGCGCTTTTGACCCCCGCCTTTCCACTCTCCTTTCGCTTGGAAATCGCCATCTTTCCGGTCCAGGGGCCTCGCACCCGGTCGCGCTGGCGCCCGGCGCGGCGCAGCGCGGCGCTGGCGGCGGTGAGCGTCCGCATCTCGGTTGAGGGCCACAGGCAGAGACACACTGAGGGGGACCTCTGCGCCACCCCACTCCACATCAATTCCTCCCAGGTGCGGAGAGGACGTGTCGCAAACTCGAGGCTCGAAGGATGCCTAAGTTTTAGCAGGGAACTTGCTTGGAGCCCGTGAAGATTCCCTACACTTCCAATCACTTCCACTGAGCGGCCCAGGACGTCTTGCATCCAGCGCGGCTCTGGCGGCGGTCCAGGGCCGGTCCGCAGCTGCTGCCAAAGCTGGCGTTGAACTTCCCAGAGCATCCTCGGCATGGCGCGGATTGCAGCATTCCACATTCGATCTCTCCGAGATCAATTTACAAGTCAGGTTGAGCATTCGTGTTGATTGCTTCCCAGTTTCTGATGACCCGGCTGCGACACGAAGGCTGCTGCCCCCCAAGCCACTTCCAGAAGATCAGCTGTGCCGTAGCCATGCCTCAAAGTTGGGAGCACAAGGCCATTGACAAGATTTCAGGAGGCAGCCGCTCGCCGAGTGCATAGTTCTGTCGAGGTGCATTTCCTGCAGCGTGTGTTCAAGCAGCTTCTCCTGGAAGTGCTCACTGAAGGCCCCAAGTAGTGCCATTGAGCGCCAGAGACGCCATAGACACAAGTGCGTGACCTCCAGACCACTTGCGGCCTCCCTCACAGCAGCATGGATCACCTGAAGACTGACGATCTGTAAAGGCCAAACACCGACAAACTGCCAGGTGCTGTGTCACTCTTCGTGCTGGATGCACCTCTGCGTCCTCTACCACGATCCTGCTGAGGGCCCCCAGAAAAGTGACGATCGGGAGTGAGATCCCAGCATCCTATCAAGTGACTCTGTTGCATGTTGCTGCAAGAACGACACCTGCACACTGCATGCGCAGCAAACGTCCTCGGAGTGCCAGAGAAGTGCTAACCCTACATCGTGCTCCATTGACCGTTCGCAGGCGGCGATGGCGGTGCTGATGCTAACATCGGTCACCGGCACTCTTGCTTCTTCCATGTTCTTCAGGCACAAAACGGCTCTTTGCCAGTGGTGGTGCTCGCTTGAGCACGCATTGAAGGCAATGGAGTTGCTTTCGATTTTGGTCAAAGCCATTGAATTCAGGACGCCAAGACTCTGCTCCCAAAGGCTTGCTTGGGAAAGGCTGCTCATGGCTGCACTGGAACCGATCACGTCGCGGCGGAGCCGCTTGGCGTCCATGTCGTCTAGAAGGTGTAGAACCAGGTGACTTGCCGACGAGCCGCAGGCACTGATGGCCTCGACCAACCCAAGTGTTGTAACTGCACCAGTTGTTTCCACTCAAGCACAGGCCATGCAATGCAGCCAGGATGCAGCATTGAAGCAAGCTGCGTCTGCGCCTGTGCACTGCGCATGCACCTTCACTCCCTGGGGACCCCTGTGGATGCCTGCACTTTTGCAGACCGTATACGCAGCCTGTCTGCAACGCTATACAAGTGCATGGACTGTCAAATGAAGCAACTGCATCGGACGGCGCTTGGGTTTCTCGAGTGGCTATGTGTTGGCACATATCAGCGCCTACAGATTCCTCTTCCATTTCCAGGAGAAGCTGCAAGGCGCAAGACCACGACACCCGAGCCAGAACCTCACGGCATCAAGACTCAAGGCTTGGTCCGATTTGCCAGAATTTCGGTTACTCGACTTCGGAGTCGAGCCAGGCAGCTGAAATGCCTGCGCAGAAAGCTATCTCATTGAGTCGCCGCCGTTTGGCATCCTCGGTATATCTCGGCATTCAGCTTTGTGATGCGGGCCATCAAGCAAGCCTTTGCTGAGGGCCCGACGGCCATCAGGGTCAATGCCGCTTGCCAGGCAAGTTGTTCACCACATGCCGCCAGGAGTGTGCTCAACGAACGGCTGGCATCTGCCACTGTCACGGCTGTCACGTAGCACTCTGACTTTGCAAGGGCAACCCCGAGCTCCTGAGATTGGCCGACAGAAGCAACTGTCACAAAACCAACGATTTGAAGCATCTACAACTTTCACAACTCTCAGCTGAGTTTCCCATGTTCGGGTTGAAGCAGTGACAACAGCGAGGCTGTGAACATAGCCGTCTGCTTGTACGCTTCGAAAGAACGCCTGCTGCAACAGGTCGAGTGCCAAGTGCCACTCTTGCTGCATCTGCAGCTCCGTCATGGCTGCGCCGATGCTAAAGACGTCCCTGTTTCCATGCATCTCCAGCAGTGCAAGACAGCCCGGCCACATGCCATCATGACGCTCTGAAATCAGGCTGGCCACGCCCTTCGCCAGTTTGAGACCGGTGAAAGCTGACGCTGACATCTCAAGGGCCACCCTCCACTGTGGATCCAAAGCCTTTATGGCCGCATTGCCGCAAACTTCGTTGATTGCGACCCGCCGCAAAAACATCATCGACAGAGCGCTGCCTGCATGCTGCCAGTCGGAGTCGGTGGACTCGAACGAGGAAAGTGCGGAAGAGTAGCAGACCACATCAGGCCGAACCCCAGACAGCCCCATCCGGCCAAGCAGGCTGAAAGACCTCCGCCAAGAACAAGATGTCATCGTAGAGCTGTAGGAGTACATGTCTAGACGCATTGCTGAATTGAACACGGAGCTCATCAATCGGCAAGCCATCTTCCACGACGTTTGACACACGCTCAGGACGACGTTGGAGCAAACAACGCCCTGAGAGCCAATGCGAATTTCTTAAAGTCAACACGGTATCAATGCAGCAGGAGGTTCTTGCCGAGCAGCTGGCACCATACCACAATGGCGCATGAGAGAAAGCAAGTGCAACGCTGCATTCCAGAAAGTGCTACCATCTAGCGAAGATATGCATGTGGTGAAGATGATGTTGCTGGAGCCCGGCTTTCTGGAGTTCAACCTGATCGTGCCGCAAGAAAAAGCCTGCGCAGTATCATCGCAACTGCAATGGAGCTCTACAGCTTCCCTACGCAAAGATACATAAAGCAGTCAAGCTGCGAATAGAGGAGTTGCAGTGCAGTTGCCCACTGCGCTGCTATACTGCATGCCTTCATAGTCATGCCATAGCTAATGTCGTCCACCCACCCGACTTCTAGGAGATGCTGCAACTTGACGAGCGCCAAATTCCACAGCCCCTTCTTTTGACATGCACTCAAAACTGAGTGACTCTTCATCAGATTGGGGCATGCCCTTTGGGAGGACGACTTCCTCAAAGTTGCGGTGCTTGTCGTAAGAGGGATGGTGGTGGCATCTCTTGCTCCGAGTGTGGCAGGAGCCCACATTGCTGACGACACCAGGCCCTAATTCCTGCGACGCCGAAACCACAGAAACCGTGCCTGCAGTCTGTTGCTGCTTCCTTCACGAAGCATGACGCGTTCGTCGCACAGCGGAAGACAACATATGACGCTTACCGGATCCATGCGGCACTAGCTGTCCGAGGCACCTTCAAGCCTCAACTCTGGCGGCAGGACTACAGTTGGGAGATTGAGCGAGCTCGGGGCTCTCTTCTACTCAGGGAGGCTTGGCTCAGCAATGGCCATTCCCACTTATTCATTTGATCAAAAATTGCCGCAATACGGCTTTATACTGACAGGGAAATAAGCATGACGTTATCGAGCAAGACCAAGAATCAAGGAGTGCCTGTGTTCAAGATTCTGGAGCTCCCCGTCAATTCACTCGCGTTTCAGAGGGGATGATTTTCTGTTGCCATACTTGCTCAGAAGGCCGAAACATGCTGGTTCTATTGGAGAGTCGTGTGCTTCTAGTGTTCAACTTGGGTCCAGGCGACCCTAAGCTGACCTGGTTGCCGTCACACAGATTACAGTCCCATGACAAAGTAAAGCTATGAGTCAGCGGCTGATCTAGATTCGATCCGAGTGTAGATTGTGCCAATATTCTGCAGTTGTGGAGTGATGGGAATGTGGACAATGACCCTTGATACTGTTGGTCACTCTGTTCTTGCAAAGCACTCAGCACCCCGACCTTGGTTATTGTGTCGACTTCACATAATAGTCATGTTCCTAATGACTGCGAATAAGGCTTGTCAAACTGAAGCATTGCATCGTCAGCCACGCGTGCTAGAGAACTTAAATGACCCTAATGCCAAGAATCCAAGAAGTGGAACGATCCGTAGGAGTGTGAATAATCAGCTTGTCCTGGTGCCATCCGAACATGACGAAATAATGCTGCAAGCAGTTCATTCTCAAAGCTGTCTGACGTGCATCAACACTCCTGCACTGTCACCAGGCCTCGCTGCTTGCAGGTTTTGGGCTCCTAGCTCCATCACAATCTCGAAGCAGGCCTTTACTCACATCTACTGCTTAGACTGACTATTTTCCTAGAGCCACTTTACTTCTGAGCTTTTACATGCTCTTACTCAAAGCGGTGTAACACGAGCACATTACATTGTCATTACATGTTGTGTGCTTGTCTTACAAAGTCTGTCTTCCCACAAACTTGTGGACCCCATTTTGGCGCTGCCATGCGACTTAACCGTCGCCAACAGCCACTCGTCGTCTCAAATGCTTGATATGCTCGCTTCATTGTGACATTGTTGCAGTGCCCCAGTCTTGACATGCCTTGCCAAGCTTGTAAATATCTTTGTACTCATCTTCAGACTTACAGAACAGTATTCACAGACATGTACAGACTTGGATAACAACACTGTTGCCAAAGAGAGCGATGCTTGCGCCCAGTAAGCTCCACTTGTCGTACCCAACGTGACTTGTCGGACTTTGGTTCGAGGGGCTTTGACAAAGTCTAGGTCGTTTGCATAAGGAGAAAGACCCTGGCGAACTCGGGATGTTCGTGTTGGTCACGCCACGAACCGTAGCAATGCTAGTCAGTCCGAGCCACTAGCCACGAATTGTCCACCAGCCTCTTGCTAACATGAAAATTCTCGATCCATACCGCATTATGCTGCCCTGGCCTTTGCACGAGCATGCACCACCCCTCAAGGGCTCACTCTGCACTTTTTGTGACGCACGTGTAGTCAGCGTGTGGTCTTTGAGTTTTTTCGCCAAATCCGGATGAGCCCACGGTCTTGCTGAGGATGTCTCAGATTTGGGCTCTGCGGCTTTTGCTTGGAGTTCCTGCGGAGCCGATGACGGCAATGGAACGGTCTGCCAAACAGACGCTCGTAATCATCTATTGTATGCCCTCAGAGTGCGTGATAAGACAGTCTGCTCAACATTGCCCTCCGGCTTTACAGAAACTCACGCTACAGTATACTCAAGTCATGGCGGATGAGCATCCTCCTGAATACATCTTTGCACTGCAAATCTCCCAAGATAGCTTCGACAACACTACGCTGTCTGTGCATACTCCGCACATCTGTCTCAATTTTCGTGCGTCATGAGCCGCAGGGAGATAACTCTGAACAAGTCAGGTGCACACCTCAACGCGTGATATACGAACCATTAATCTCCATTCACTATTCAGACTATTCACTATGTCAAGAAATGGCAATGTACGCCCACCAACACAACTCAGCAGGACGAGCAGACCACCTAATGTAACACTCTCGAACCTTGAGAAGGCTTACACAATTTGAAGGTGCCGGCAGGGGAGAGCTCGTGTCTTTAAGGGAATTAACAGGCGCACCGTTGTTCCGAGGTACGTCTGCTATGCTCGCATGTACATCTCGCGATAGCTCCGTCGCATCCCATCAGCTACCTGGCGCGTGACCTACGAGGATGTACGAGACTCGCAGAGGTTTCACTGAATGCAGCACAACGTGAAAGGACAAGGAACGCAGCTGCTCTTTGTCGCTCAGAGGTCTACTTGCAATTGTCTCATGGCTCAGCCTCGCAGCACCCTGCACAGTGCCAAGGCCAGATGCTTTCGCTGGACGGGATGGTTGGAACCAGCTTGCAAATTGCATAGTCTGAACAATGTCAAGCCTGGCGGCATCGCTGCACACAGCCCGTACAGTACAGTACAGTACAGTACAGTACAGTACAGTACAGTACAGAGCTAACAAAAGCTGCCCGAGACATTTCAAGTATCTAGTGTGGGAATACTTCTCAAGCACAGACGATGCGCAGCAGCAAACTCTACAAACTCTAAAGCATCCAGCATCATCCCGCGCGGAAGAGGTGGGATGCTTGGACATATTGCGGAAGCCACACCGCCAGGCTGTAAATAATTAGCTGTGTTGCCTTATGGGCTGATCATTGTAACATGCAGAGCAGGACGTCTGGCATGGTTCCAATTGCAGGCAAACCAACCAACACATAAACCGGCCCTTTGATGCTACTCCTCACATATCCCAGCAAAGTTCGACACAAAGGCACCTCGTGAAAACAGCCTCTACATTCAGCTAAACCTGGCAACACGGCTAGACACTCCTGTGATGCAGTGGCGATACAGCGACCTTCACTCTCCATCTCTGTGGATGAAAATGTCTCGGAGGTTACCAACGAACCCGTGAAAGCACGAGATGTTCTCTGATCACCATGGATGCCAAATCAATACCCGCGTTATGGGCTGTCTTGGCTGGCATGCGTCGGGAGCAACTAGATGATGTCGCTTCGGGCTGGTGAGCCCTGCAATTCTGATTACTTTTGGTCAGAGCTGCAAGACTTTTCGTGATCAAAGTGCTTGGACGGCTTACCATGGGCTGAGGCGAAGGTTGCACTGTGACGCCACCCCATGCTGTCGCTTCACGCGGGCAGGCCAGGCCTGTTCAACTGCTTGACACATCGGCGCTGGCCGTTAGCTGGGGAGATGAGGTTTCAAGGATTCAACGGGCAGGGGCTCTTGAGAAGCTGCTCAAAGCTAAATCACCTGCAAAGAATTCACGGCTGGTACACCCGTGGTTAATAAGCACGGACAGTTGTGGATGTGCCCTCGTTGCTTGCGTGAATGGCAGGCACGGCTAAGTTTGCAAACCCTTCCTGACCATATCTTACTATTGTTGGGTCTGCGGGCGGGCATGGTGCAACATCTCAGATTTGGGTCCCAGCTCACTGGCACGTACAGATTCACAAGGATGGTATTGCGCTGCAGGCCTGTCTGCCAGAGTCTGTCCGTGCTTTTAAACGCGTCTTATTAGGTCTTCCCTCTGACAGTGGCTGCAGCTCTGCAGTGCAGGGATGTCTTGGCCAAACTGTCTGCCTCTCCAGTCGTAAGCTGGAGAAAAAAATCGGCCTCTTGCTGAAAGGGAGGCAAAGCAAAGCTGCCTCCTGCCCTGAGGCCGCAGAGACTACCCCAGAAGACCCTCATGGCAGAGTTCTCGCACATGTTCGTTTTGACAACTTCGGGAGGGGCGAATCGACATCATTTGTGCTTGGACCGTCTGACCGTCTTGATAAAATGCCTTGGGTTTTTCTCTTGCTTGCCTGGACCGCAGTGATGGAGCCCAGGACCTCGCTACACAGGAAGCCTGCCTGCAGCCCCGGATCGTGCTTTGAGCTCGCGACATCCCTATCCATGGGTGCACTGTGTGGAATTCAAGTGCGTTCATCCAATGTGCATTGCATCCTGTTCGTACTAAATACTGAGTCGAGAGTTGGAAATTAGATCTACTCTCGGCCTATTCTGTCCTCATTTAGATTGAGGGCCGTCTCTGTGCCCGGGCACAAATACCTCGAGTTCTGAACAGCCTTAAATGGGTGCGCACGGGCACACTGACACGGCAGTAAATCAAATCGAGCACGGCTGTGACTCTCTTCGCACTGTACACTTACTATCCCATCCACCGTCCCACGTGTGGTGAGGAGTATGGGCATCAAAACGGCATGAAGTGCAAATGGATCCGCGCACGTATGAAACAAAATATCTCAGATGGAACATGCTACGAAGCTAAGATTGGACTAGCGACGATCCACTCATCGGTGCAGACGGGCATCCTTGCAGACCTTTTGTCCGCAGAGCTTTGCTTGTGGCAGTGGTCAAACTGAACAAGCGTCCGACTCATACCTGTGTGTACGGCGCACAGCGACGGGATTGTGAAAGCATAACAATTTCAAAGCGCTGAAGAGGCCGAGGCCCTGGCTCGCCGCGCCCCAGCGCCGGGATGCAGGCGCTGGTTCCGGGCGCGGCGGTGTCTCGTTGGAGGGCCTCCGCGGTCTCCGCACACTCTCTTGGCACTGCCCTAGCGGCTCTAGCGGCCAGGCGGCCTGCCAGCTGTGTGCCGTGGCCATGGAAGGATGGATACACCTCGAGTTGCAGAGATTCCGGCCGCTTCCCTAGGGCCGCGACGCTCTGAGATCTCGGCCGCTGGATCGGTCACTTGCCAAACTGCGCAACACAGACCATACTCAAGGACTCAATCGAAACATTACGGAGTACGAGTAACACTCCACACCTGTGCCAGGGACAGGCCGCACACTGTCCACGGGAGACATAGGAATTGCCTGTGAAGCAGTTCAATTGCAGCGGTGTTGTGATGGTGTGCTGAACTCCCACTCTCTTCGCCGTGTATGCTGTGGCCTCTTGCGGTTGGGTAACAGCCTGGGCAACAAGACTGGCACCACTGCGAAGCGGACTCAGAATTATTGCCCTTAGGACCACATGAACAGCAATTTGCAGCCTGCACAAGCAGCTTCGGCAACATCTCACTTCCGACGGTTAAACATGAGATGATTGTGCGGATCTCGATGCAACGATGATCGCCAAACGAGACAGCCAATAAGCGCTGGTCGACAAATGTGTCTCGTCTTCTCACTCACGCCTGTATTCGTGAAGGATGTTGCTCTCGTAACATATAGCAACATCTTCTAATTTTGTAGGATCTTCAGCCGTGGCCGCTGCCGGAAACGCCAAGGTGCCCAGGGGTAGCCTGGGCAGGCTGCGGCTCATCGCGATAGGTGGTTGCTGCAGTTGCTGCACCTCTGTGGCACGCTTTGAGGCAGAACCGAGCAGGTGGCTGTAGCGGAGTGGTGACGATCGCTGGTAAGGCCTTGCTTCCACAGTTCTCGAGGCGGCACTGCCGAAGCATGGCAAGCTGTGTGAAAATGGCACAGCAACATAACATAGCACACCAAAACGAGTGCGCTTATCTTTAAGACTCGCTGTGGCTGGTATATCTTGGGAGCGTGCAGACAACTAAGCGTCTGACGCTCTTGAGTTGTTTTTGCTTGAAGTTTATGACTTGCGTTAATTGATTGTTGATTTCCCTAGTGCTTTTTTGTTTTGTTCATTTCGATAGCCGCTTTGGGCTTTTGGAGTTGATTTTGATTTCCCTAAGTATCTTCATTTTTATTGAATTATTTTGGATTTGTGTGAATTTCCAGTGTTGTTGATTTTCTTGATTTCGTAGGACGCCCTGTGTTTATGTTGACATATTTAGTTTACTAGTTGTTTTTGCTTTTCTCGAGGTCTGATGATTGCAGTATAACGCCTTCAAAGCGTTTAGCTCCTAGGTGTTGCTGTTGTTTGTGAGTACCCTAGGTGTTGCTGATTTTTGTTCGAATGTCGCTTCTAGTTGATTTGCCAGTTTGTTTTGATCTTTCTCGGTGTTATTGATTTTTCACATCCTGGCAATTAACAAACCCAAGGTTCACATGATTCTAAAGCTGCCACTCAGCATTTACAAGAAATACAACTCTAAAGTCTACCTATCGCTCCGCTGGCTCCTGGGGTTGAAACTGGATGGTGACCTTTCCTTGTCTCTGCACCGCGAGATTTACACTCCTCTTCGCCTGAGCTCCCCACTGTGCCTGACCCAACCCTTAGCGGCCGGTCTGGAATGTTTTGGGGTCACTTCTAAAGTCTTCCGCGAAGAGCTGCAGCCTGCCTTGCCGACGTTCGGCAGAGCCGCAGTTTAGCAACGTCGCAATGTGACGGCAGTGACATGCTTTCGTGCTTCGGCTTGTAGAACAGACGGATGCATGGCTTGCAGACAGGCAGCACGACACCGTTCTGTGTGAGGGGAATGGACGCCACCTGCTGCGAAGTTCTTACTTCCTGAGTATTTCCTTCCTACTTCCGGGAGTCAGCGGCAGGCATTCAGACATTCTGACACCAATACACCAGCGAGTGTAACTATCCGGCAACAATGCTTGCGCCTGGTGGCTGGTCTGCCTTGAGCGCAATTGCAGTGTTATAGGTTAGCACGTTTTCGCACCTGTAATCCAACCATCGCGATAGAAGCCTACGGCCCCACGACCAGACGAAGGCAACGTCAACATTGAAACGTTGCATCCATGCTCACGACATCCGAGCACCAAGAACCACATAGATTCATAGATCATGAGAAGGTGTAGCAGGTGATGACAGAGGGAAAAAACGACAGATCCGCCAATGCAGTGAAGATGTGGTTGCTGACCAGAAGGACTGCAGAGGGAAGGGGCTAGGCAGGACAGGGATCAAAGCAAATGCATTAACAAGGATTGAGTAGAGCAACGAACTTGAAGACAGCGAGAACTACAAACACCACCGCCCCAAAGCCAAAGGCATCTGGAACCACAGCGACAACGGCAGCAATGCAGATCAACGCTGCTAAAGACCACGGATACCACTACGACAAGCTCCACCGCCTTGGCCGGATGCAGTCCTACGTCAGCGAGAGTCACGAGAACAAGCGTTGGGAGCCCGCTGAAATCATGATCTTGATGCAGGCAGGGTCTTCATTGCAGCCCAGGGAGCACTTGCGAGGGACCCTGGACGAAGGGCTGGCCTTGCCGGCGTGCATCAATAATGTAAGACGGAATACATGAGCGTTGATAATATTCCTTCTTGCGGAGATGGTTCCTTCGCGGATTGTTGCTTTCCTTTCGCGGGACTTTCGCCCTCACTTTCGCGCGACATGTTGGTGGCCGTAGCAGTAGCAGTAGAAACAGCAGTAGTAGTACAAAGTAGCAATAGTCGTCGTCGTCAGAGTGGTAGTGGTAGTGGTGGTAGCAGTAGTAGTAGTAGTAGTAGTAGTGGTGGTGGTGGTGGTGGTGGCAATTGGAGCACTTGAAGCATCAGCAACAGTTGCAGTACACGTGGCAAGACAAATATTAGTAACAATAGTAGTAACTGTAGCTGTAGTAGTCGTCGTCATCGTTGTCGTCGTAACCTTAGTACTGGTAGTTTGATAAGGAAAGAATACTGGAAAGAACAGTAGTTGTTGCTGTCCTCGTGGTGGTGGTAGTGGCAATAGTCGTAATGGTAGTGGTAGCGCCAGAGGGAAGTGCCAGTGACAGTGGCAGTATAGCAGTTGCGGTAGTAGTAGTAGTAGTAGTAGTAGTAGTAGTAGGAGGTCTGCGACTTGTCACACCTGGATAGTGGTGGCTGCTGTGGTCGAGCCATGACCTTGCACAAGCTGGGCCGTCTTTCGCGTCGTCTTTCACAGATCTTTCGCGGAAACCTACAACGATTTCCGCAAAACGGCCACTCTCTGAAGGTGAGGCTGGTTTTACAACACTCGTTGCTGTAGGCAAGACTCACACCTTTGGCTTGGCCTGTTCGTGGCCGCAGAATCGCTGAGGAAGCAAGTGCCCAAACAAGTCCATGGTTACCAAGCCTCAAACCCTGACTTTGGGTGTTCTGCGGCACTGGGCAGTAAAGGGTACACCCACAGCATAACATATTCTGTATGGGTTTCATGTCTCCCAATGCTGTTACGTGAAAACTTTCGCGGATTATTGCTTTCCTTTTGCGGACCCATCGCAGATCTTTCGCGGACACATTGTTTTACATCAAACACCGTTTTGTACAAATCCGAAGACAAGGACCTTTAGATCAATGCTCACATGTCTCGGCAAGGCAAGGGCCCAGGGGCGCCCCACAGAGGGTCAACACTTCCGGCTTGACACGGCTGAAGGTACCAGGCCTGGTGCCAAGGGTGGTGCAAAAGGCCCGGGCCTTAGCAGTCTGTCGCAGGTGGGCTTCGGCGATGGGGCTTCGTGCCACTGAGGTCCCGAACGACAAGGGATCAGGCATGTCGGGGCTTGAGTACACCTGCTGCTGCTGCCCTGTTTTCGACTCGTGAATGCAGCTTCTGTACAGCCGATCGTGGCAGGCCTGTTGTGAAGGAGCACGGCCGTTGCAGTAAGCAAGCCACTTCTCCCGCAGAATGGGCCTCAGGCGGCCGAGAGCCAGCGTCTACGCACGTGTTCTGTAAACAGCCAAGTGCCTGGCTCGTACTTGTCACGAACAAATCCCGGGCCGTCGCATAACGGCGAAGCGAGCATTATCTCAGGAATGGGCAGCAAACAACAACCGCCTCAGCAATGCAAAAACTGCCGCAACATCGAGCCTGACGCAAGTTCCTCCGCAGCATGGAAAGAGTTTGAAGGTTGCTGGACACGCCCTTCACCTGCAATCTGCACCCTCGTCAAGCTATCCCCTGTGGTCACAAGGCTGTGATGCAGGCACCTTGGTGACGTATTCCTCCTTGGCAAGCAAGAATTCCAGGCAGCAAGTGATTCCCGCAGCCTAACGACTCTTTTGCAGCAGTGCCTGACAAAAGCAACATGCAGGCTGTGAATGCCGTGTCGTCCGGCTGTCCCTTGCTAGGCATGACCTCCCAATGCGCCTGAGTGCTAGCGGAGAACTCGCCCAAGCCAACCGCGGTGAGCAAGGTGTGGCAGACCTAGCAGTTCGAGGAATACAAGCAGCATCGAGACAAGTAGCGAAAGCAAGCGGACCAACAGTTTTCGATACTAAAGCAGATGCTACGCTTTTACAGAGTATGCTACAGTTAGTAGTGTGAGATAATGTGAAAATAAGTTATCCTTTGCCACGCAGTCAGCGACTGGGCAGATGTAGATCTGTTTACAACACTTCGCAATAAACACATTGCATCCTCAATTCAACGCGATTATGTGCAAGACTCTGCAACACAGAAGCTGCGGCCATCATTTTCAAAGCAGGAGCTAAAGAAGCAGCGCTGCCTGCGAAACATGTTGAAGATGTAAGCCAGTGCATCGTACTGTATGCGAGCAGCCATCATGTTGTATGGCAGAAGCGGATGCGTACCGCGTACCCCATGCATCTCCATGCCATCGCAGGCTCGCTGTTGAGCGGCATGTGCTGGGACCTTGCTCTGCAGCCTCTTCAGATCTGTGGAGTACCAGCAACACAGACAGAGCGCTCGGGTAACGGGCATAAGAGGTTTGGCCCAGGAGCACCTGTTTCGTGAGCTTGGCGGCAGCAGCTTCAGCGACTGTTAAGTGCGAGAGCTACTACGGCGCTACTGCGAAGCCTGGAAGTGGTACTGTGACATTGGGAAGGAGAATGAGCAGAGGCACCCCGATCTCTTCGTAATCGATGAACTCTTTGACCGGTTTGATTTGACAGAGCATTTACTGGGAGTCGAAGCCGCTCCCATGGCCCGCAGCGGACACGGCACTGGAGCTTCTCAAAACCTGCCGGCGATGCTCTGAGCATCGCCTCTCGCAGCTCTGCGTGAGGATCTTTATCACGGGCCGGGAGTCCTGGCCCAAAAACGAAGCAGGTCCTTCGATAGCCACATCCAGGGGCGTCTCTCCAAAGACTGACTCCATCACAGGGTCCGCCCGGCCGTCCAGAAGTGTTTTGACCAGGTGGAGGTTGCCTGCAAGGGCTGCGTAGTGCAGTGGAGTTTCGTGCATGGCATCAAGAGGATCTGGTGGAAAGCCATGCGACAGCAGCCGCTCCACAGTGGCATAGGAATTTGCTGCAACGGCTTCGTGAAGGGTTGACTCACCCAGCGTGCCTCGGGCTAGCTCTGCATTTACGCTGAACCCGGGGATCGAACAGATTTCTTCAAGCTTCGCCAGTTCTTGATCACCGGAAGCGGCCAGCACTGAGACCAAGTGAAACGCTGCCCAGCGCTGAAGCCGCCTTTGCAATCGCTCCACCCCTCTCCCATTGCTTCCTCGGATGAAAGCCAGAATAGCCTCCCGATCAGACGCGAGAGTGCAAGAAGCAACCTCAATGTCCACGTTGAAAACTGCCTCCGTTATTGCACGAGGTATGGTACCAGACTTGGAATGGCCATTCGGGAAGAGCTTCGTGCACGCCATAACGCCTGATGGACAAGCAAAATAAATCGCCTGTCCAAGACGAGTTGCACATTCCAGCTGGTAGAGGCGCCATGCGCGGGTGATTCTCCACGGCTGGGTCTGTGCAGCGCAGTGAACCATGGCTCCCGAGGTCACCAGCAAGGATCGGCATTCGCGCTGCGACTTGTCCACAACAAGGTGGCCCTTCTCGAACTGATTGCTCCTCCTGTCGGCTTCTACTTGCTGCGGGTTCTTGGCCAGCAGCCACCAGTAGAAGACCGCAGAATCTTTCATTCCGGTTGCTTCAGCAAACCATTCAACGCAAGCCATGACGTCTGCTACATACATGGAAGCATGGTAGTCGATGAAGGTGTCTGGAACCTGCGGCCCTTCAGCCACGAGTTCCACGTACGAGCAGTTGCGTTTGGATGTCTCCTGAGCGGATGACGCAGCGGATGGCCCATCAGAAACCGGTCCAAGCTTAGCACAGCATCTGACTAGAGAGGGTCCCCTTTTATGGACGTGCTTAAACCCCAAACGGGCAGGGAAATGTGCTTTGACCGGTCTCCTTGATGATGAACTTCTCCGTGACTTGGTCTACCGTGATGGCTTCCCATGGAGTCCCAGGCAAGGACTTGCCAAGAGACGTACGGGCCTTGCGCGCAAAAGTTCTGAGTTGTCCCAGGGTGATGCCTCTTTCACGAATCTGCGGCAGTTCGCAGCCCCGGTTCCTCCGGCATGCACCAATTAGACCGATCACTGATACCCGAACATCCATGTTCAAAGCTTCGAAGGCCTTGTGGTGTTTGATGAAAAGGGCATGCTCCTCAGTTTTGTTACCGGCATCTTGACCATCCAGCTGAGGTCGCCCGTCCACAAGCACAAGGTCACCGTCAGGACTTCGATCGACGGTCAAGAGCCCAGCCTTCTCTGGAACACCAGCAATGAAATTGAAAATCTGACGCCTGTAGGCTGCCTCAGACGCCGTGCTGTCTCGCACATCCCATTGAGAGATCGCATCAACAAGAGGCCCGGAGGAGACTGCATGGGAGCCCACCAGACCGGCAGAAGTGTAGAGCTCCAGGGCCTTCTCTTGTTGGATGGTGTAGTGCAGCTCCTGGAACAGGGGGCCCAGGGGGAGCCGAGTAAGTCTTCTGTCCTACTTTCAGGAGATCTCACTTTCAGAATGGGAGCTCCAGGCAGCACCAACTTCTCCGAAGCGAACCAGCATCGCGATCTACCATCAGGATGGTCGCCTCTGCAAATTCCACGGCTCTGACAAAAGGGGTGTCCATGATAGTGGCGCCGAAGTTCTCGCCGAATTGATTGTTTGCAAAAGTGCAAACCCAAAAGGTCGTGCATATGCTCAGTGCTCGGTCGTCCATTATCTTGTCGATAGCGCTCATGAAATCGGAGAACCTACCTCTTCGGGGTCACAGCAAATGTGGGCCTTGCCGAATACTAAATCCCCCCTCTCAAAGAAGAAATCCCGGGAGAGCCTTTGCACACTTAGCTTCGTGATGCCTATCGTCAATACAGAAGACCTTGCTCAAGTCGGAGCTTCTAAGGCTCAGGGCTAGGGATGGGCTAAGGGTCACAAGACGTTGAGCTTCCGCACATCTTGTGCTCAACTTCCGAAATGTTTGGCACGTGCGCAGTACCCTAGTAGTAGTTGCAGTGGGGATAGGAGGAGTAGGAGTAGGAGCAGGGGGAAGGAGAAACAGCATGAGTAGAAGAAGAAGGGGAAGTAGAAGCAGAAGCAGAAGTAGACGCAGACTAGAAGTACAAGTAGAAGTAATTAGGGGTAGACGTAGAAGTAGAAGTAATTAGATGTAAACGTAGAAGTAGAAGCAGAAGTAGTAGTACTTAGTAGTAGTAGTAGTAGTAGTAGTAGTAGTAGTGGTAGTAGTAGTAGTAGCAGCAGCAGCAGCAGCAGCAGCAGTAGCAGCAGCAGCAGCATTCGCAGCACCTGCAACTGCCCTTAATCAGTGAGCGGCTGTAGTAAAGTGTAAAGCCTTCCGCTCGGACTTCCGCGCGCCGAGGAACTTCAAAGAGATTCAAGGCAAAACATGTTACGAGCTAGTACCACAAGTTGCCCTGGACATAGGCGAAAGAAAGCGGGTTTTAAGGCAATACCCATGCAAGGAAGAGCGGGGAAGAGAGTTCCATCCTCCTGACCGAGCCTCCCCACCAATGACTGATCATTAGTTGCGGACGCTGCGGTTTCTCACTGACAAGCTCCGCCCACGAGTAGCCTGCAAAATAACCTGTCGTTGGCGCATTCGTGGCCACCTTCATTTCGCGGAACTTAATGATGGGCTTGATGACCTCATCTGTGACGTCGTACAGATTCAGATCGTGCCAGCTCAACTGCTTATTCTCGGCACGACCTGAAGTCCCAGACCTGCATTTGTCATCGCAGGTGCGTTTCAGAAGCTTGGCTTTGCAAAGCCGCTGCAGAAAGGCCCGCAAATCGCAGAGCTGCTTGATAGTCAGCGCACGTTCTGCAATGTTTTGAATACATATGCGATCTCGCTCCACTGGCCAGGGGACAGGCATTGCCACTTCAAGGTCATCTACTGATGTGGCTCCTATAGCCTATAGCTACGGGTATGCTCCCCTGCTAGTTTGTGGCACAAGGGCTTTATTCCGAAGGCAGCTGAATAATAACCAAAGGAGCAAGATGCGGCACCCCGGAGAAGCACAACCATCATATCAGTACATGCTACGTACACTCTTGGACATCTAACTTTCGACTCCACTAGCCAAGCAAAACCATCGGCACATTGACATGACCGAGACCGCCGTTCGCGCAGAGCCCGAGAAGCCCAAGCTCCAAGCCCTGGCGCCGTGGGTGCTTCCAACCAGGCACACTGCCGGGACACCTCGGCTCGCTCGCGAAACGAAGCAACGGTCGGCAGACACGGCCGCTCCCAAAGGTCCAAAAGTTACGCCGCTAGGCTGCGGCCCGCGCCCATGAAGAGGGATTCGCAGGTTGTAGTGGTGTTGGAGTACGGGAAGGTGTCCAAGGCTAGGTCTACCTGCGCAGCGAATTCCTGAGCTTTCCTGCACCCTGCAACTCATCCAAAGTTTACTGGCTTGGAAGGGCTTCGTTCTGAAGTTTTAAAAGAGCCAGCCGCTGCCTCGTTGTAGATGTTGAGGTGTTCGTAGGATGTGGGAGCAAGCGACAAAAGCTTCAGCCTGGCGAGACGCAGTGGTGTGGTGAATCTTCAAGTCCTGTTTATAAACCCTTTGGTGCTTGCATGTATTTCCATGTCAGAGAACTGCCTGGCCTGTGCTCCTGGATGCCGTAAGCTTTGAACTTGTTGATGAAAGTGGCCTGAACGGTTGCGAGCAATGCGCATTGTTCACACAAAGCAGCACAGAGGCAGCCAGTCAACGTGTTTTTGATCGAATTACAGAACCCAAGCTGCGGCATGCAAGTCGCCCACTGTCAACAATTTGCTATTTGCAACTCCCTGTCTGCTGGCCTGAACGTCTTGAGAATAGAAACCCTTGTTCTTCACCAGCAGCTTGCTGTTTGGAACCTGCATCACTTTCGATCCTTGAGTTTGACACGCTCACACGCACGCACACACACACACACTACCAGTCCATGAGGACCGAGAACCCTTCGTGGCCAGCACAAAATCAAAGGAGAGGGCAGCCTCGTGCAAGCAACGAGCCCACAGTGCGACGACGGGCTCGCCCACTTTCGCAAGGCAGCTGAAGCCTGAGGATACGGGCAAAATACTAAACGAAACCGAACACGGTTGCATGCAGCTGCTGGCTTTTCGCAACTGCATGAGACACACACACACACACAATTGCTGAGTGAGCAGACTTCCGAAGGTGACGTAGCCGTTTCGCAGAGCCGGCAGGGACCTGGCAACGAACCAAGTCGAAGCCCTTCCTCTTGATCCTCTTGAAGCCAGTGGAGACCACGGTCCAAGTGCAAAGTCCATGAACGCAGAAAAAGCCTACAACAACCGAAAACCAAGACACCGCAAAGACAAGAACAACAAAAACGCGAGCTACTTTTCTGTTATGGCAATGGTTGCTTGGCAATGCTGACGCGGCACTGCCTGGAAACTATGTGCCTGGCTGCCTGACCATAATATCTTCACGTTCTTGGTGCTGGCACTATGATATACAGCGAGAAGATGCGTGAATTTCAGTAGCTTCGGAACTCATGCGTCGGCTCACCCAGTCACCTGCACGGCTTTGATTTTGTAGTGTTTCGCTCGACGGGCTAGAGCACTCTCTCGTTGTCCCTCTATTTCTGGCTTGCGCCTTCTGCACGGCTCCTAGACATTCGGTTTCTTGTCCGTGATGCGGGTTGAAGTCGAACCGCTCACCGCCCCCAAGTAAGGCTGCAGCTCTATTTCCGGCACGCGGGCTGGTGGGGTGTAGCAGAGGAAGCACCTGAGATGCAGGAACTGCCTGATGCACTTTTCACACATACAACATGTGCATGCTCCATCCACATCAAGCCTGTTTGTGCTCTTCTCGGCAATGTTTATGTACGTCATTATCAGATTTTGGCCAGTTCTGCGAATGTGCCATGTATATCAGCTACAGTCTTGCACGAACCAGCTTGTCACCATAGCCAGTCTGCGACGATTCTAGAACATTTGCATGGAAGACAGCACTGCATGGCATCGCTAGAAGAAGGATGGGGAGCCTTCCCAAAAAGAGGATCAAACCTTGCTCGAGTATGCTCGTTGCCGAAGAGAAGAGCAAGACGTGACAGTATCCAAATGCTACGAATATATGGAGAACAAGTCTTGAGCACAACAGGTGCCGCAAGTTGCAGCCATTTTGTTGTTCAGTGGGTCTTACGTCCACAGGCAGCGAACCGTCCTGTGCCGGTCTAGCGAACGTCTACAGCTGGGAGGCATGGCCAAGCCAGCCTTGGATCATCCACCAGTACTGGGCCGGAGGCACTAGGGCCAGAGGCAGGAGCTTCCGTACAACGCTCGTACACACGGGAGACTGCGTGAGCATCAAATCCGCTAAGCAGTTGACAGCCACCTTCTGACTTCGGGCTGTCTCGCACAGAGCCGGCACAATGACGAGTCCTCGCAGAGTTGGCCTCGTCATCCGCCGTTTGGTTGAGAGCCCGGCATGCCGCAGCATGCAGCCGCAGGAAGGGGCTCCAGTTGGGCTGTTTCCCATGAGAAGGAACCCAGACCTGTTGCCATGAGGTGCCCAAGGCACGTGACATCCGATCAGCGTTATGAGCCCTCTGCGCACGGAGTCGCAGCACGCGAGGGGCTTCAAAGGTAAACTGGTGTCTCAGCACGTGAGCATCAGCAGTCACTTGCTGCAAGACGCAGGGGGCGGAAGGGCGTACTTTAACCGAAGCCGAAGTCGATCCAGCCTGAGTTTGAGGGGCACTGTTTGCCCGTCATCAAAATGAAGCTGGACACCTAGAAAATCGAGTGTGTCAACAACCTGCTACTGCCACTGCCGAGCAACACCGAGCCAAGGACAACGAGTGTCGGTGGCTTGCCGAACAGACCAGCAGCTTGGTCAAAGCTGTCGCAACCCCTTGTATAGGCAAGCATCCACCTTTCAGAGGTGCAGTTCGACAGTGAACAGTCGAAACTGACTGTCGTAGAAGCCACGCAAGAGTCTTGCCCGGGCAGGAGGATCCCCAAGGTGGGCCAAAGCTTCGCACACACTGGGCATGGACAGGGAATCGAAAAACAAGGACAAGTCCTGCTGCAGGAATGATCGCAAACCTTGTTTCCAGGCAAGGTACACACTTCACCGCAGAGCCGCAAGCTCTATGGTCGCACCAGGAGGCGGCGCACGCCCTTAAGTTTGGCAGCCACAGCTCGTGCGCCTGTGCGCCAGGCCATGAACAGCAGGGCAATCGGTCTTGCTTCTTGTTGGCCTTTATCAAGCAGGGTAATGGTGGCTCGCTGCCAGAGCCGAGGGACGGAGCCCGTACGAAGGACAACCTCCCTCAAGGCCTCAAAGGCAACCCACCATTCTGGTGGGCGTTTGCGAAAGAGCTCAGCAGACCACGGGGTCTGGGGCCCGAGAAGGCGCTGAACCTGTCGGAGGGCCACAGCCGGACAAAGAGCTCTGGTGCGTCCCTGTTAAGGTCAACTTCTTGAAAGGGGGCGACCTGGGCATCATGTTCGGCCATGACCTGATGAGCGGCCGCGATCCGGGAGATGCCCCGCCGGGCCAAGTTGCAGCTCAAGAAGGAGATGAACACGGCACTGGATCAGCTTCAAGAGCCTGCTTGGCATCTGAAACATTGAACACCGCTTTCAGCTTCGCAGGAGGGAAGCCGGGCACCGAGCCGCGAGGGGAAGTTGCACACTTCAACTTGTTTTAAAAATCACTTTGCAAACAACGGTGCCGGTGTGGGCTTGCTGCCCCCAGCTCGGGCCATCTCGGGCGACGCAGCAGGAACAGCGTGATCTCCCCACGCCAGACCCAGTTTGCTTGCTGATGCCCAAATCACACAGGGGGCATTTCCAGCGAACCTCAGTGTTGCGGCCGCACTTCACGAATTACACAGCCGGGTCAATTTTCTGGGCGTGATGGGTGAGCAAGTGAAAAGGTCGGGCTCTTTGCAACTGCGCGGTGTCATCCTATTTCTTGCGAAAGGGACAGCATTCGCACTGAAAAATGCCCTTCACCGTGATGTCGTGGCCGTCAGCAGTTTACCGCGATAGCATTGGCCAATAGTGGCCAGGTGTCGTGCTTCCTCCCAAAGACTCTTGCTTTGTCTAAGCACCCACAGGCTCACACAGGGACATGAGGAAGACAATCACGACATAAACATGGAGAGCAAATACAATCAAGGTTAACACTCAACAGCAACACGAATGGAATGCACTCGCCAACTCTCAGTGGGCAGAACCAGCATGCAAACGAAGTACGAGTTAACCTGCTTCCAAATATTCTAGCTGGAAAAGAAGAGCAGACAGAGTTTGAAGATGCAAAATGCCCAGGCATTGTGAACGGCGCGCTTGCTAGTGTGGCATTCATCCCAGACCGTCGCGAGTTCTCTGAAGTCTCCATGGATCCAATCTCCTCTAAAGATCACACCAGCAGAGGCGCCTATGCCCGACATTCAGGACAGATTATGCCAGTTTTGTATAGAGTGATTTCGTGCGATTGACAAAGCCATCTGCCTCTGAGGTAATTCGGATGCGCGGTGCAAAACCTGGATATCACTAGTTGAGCAGAACGCAGGCATGACTATCCTCACGCTGCAGCATCCGTGCTTGTCTATGAGGCAGCAGAACCACCCGTTCCGAACCGCGTTACTGAAGTCGCCAATGCACATCCTGCAGATGCCACCGTGAATCCAATCCAAGAACCCGAGGACCGAGCCCAGGTATGCGTACCAGTTCCTCGCTGAAGGGCTGTTGAGTGTCCTGCCTGAACGGCTTGCAGAGACTTAAGTGCCATTGCTGGGTTCTTTGAGAAGCCAGCGGATCGACAATGTCATCCACCAGCCGGTAGTCAATTGTGCCCAACCTCGGCAGTCCGATGCTGCAAGGTTCCAAGCTTCTGGCTTTCGGGCCAAGGCCCCGTGGTGTTGTTGTAGCCGATGTAAGTGATCCTGGCAAGTCGGAGTCTACGCTGGCAGAGCGCCATGTTGACAACGCTTCGATCTTTCGTCCGAGCCCTGCGCTGGACGGGCGCCGGCTTCCTTACACAGTTGGTGCTTTGTTGCCCCCGAGTCCAGAGGCATTCTGGTGTGTGATTCGTGCATGGATCAAACAATCAAATCGGCGATCAAACACTGCAGACACTGACAGATAATTCATATACGCTTCCGCAAGCTGAACGCGACGACTGTTGGGTGAAGCGGTCCCAGAGGCTGAGACGCTCTGCCTTTTTTAACCATTTCCTAACACCCGACATATGAGCATGGTCAAGAACGACGAGTACGATTTACGAGCATCAGCTTGAACATCAAATCGAATTTGTCAGTCAGCCCTTCCCTGTTCAACCCCCCGCCAAGGCTCAGTGCAATCACATCTAAGCGGTTGTTGGCTGTGTGTCCTTGCAACGAGTAACGAGGATCCGAACAATGTAGACTGTGAGGGGGAGGCAGGTGACAAATGTCTCTGGCCTGCCAACTCGATCAGAATGTCAATCTGGTCTTGCCGGATCATCTCAGCCACCTGCACATCAGCAAACTCATATCTTCTGGAGCATAGGGTGCTTGTTCGGGTCGTGCGTCTTCAACATCAGGTTCCCGTGACTGTGCACTAAACGCGTTTTGCGCAATTTAGTGTGCTGTGGATTTACATTTACTGAGCCTGAAGCCAGGCGTCAGAATGCCGGAGACAAACAGTGTTCGCAGGGGTCAAAGAATCTAGCAAGGCTCTAGGTCATCTCCCCTCAGCCCTTTAAATTTAGTAGTGCTCGCAAGGACATCCATGCAAGAGTGTGGCTGATTGTGCAACGGCAGCATCTGCCACCCATACTTCCACACCCATCCAATCGTCTCGACAAGCCCTGCTTTGCTACATCCTGCTGACCACATGTCAAGCTACAGACATACGTGTGGAGACAGGGCGCCGATCACAACCTAGCGGACCTTTGCTGCATTTTGCTGCCGTTGTTCTGGAAGTCATCTCTGCCCCGAGTCCGCCTTTATGGACTATGCCGTACAGACTCCAGGGTCGATCTGTGTCGGTCTTCTTTGCTGGCCATCGTTTCTTAGGGTAAGACCCCTGGCTGCCATGTCGACATGTCCTATCCGAGGGGTGGTGGATAGCCCAAGTGTCTCCGTCGGCCAAGGCATGCGTGGCTACCTTTCCCCTTCCTCCAGGCCAGTCCGTACGGAACACCGTCCCTGCTGAGGCTGCTGGTTTCGGGGGCGCAGTCGGCCGAGAAATCGATTGTGGTAGCTTGCTGGAACTGCTGGTTGCAAAATTCGACGTACATATGTTGAGGGTCAGAGCACTTTGTCCGGCAAAAGATGATGAAAACCACACCACACCTGGTCCATACAGGCTGCACAACCCTAAACCCGCAGACGGCTACATTTCTTTCTGCATGGCTGGTACTCCTGCAAGGGCATGGGAAATGGTTGTCGTGGCCAACCGACAACGGAAGCCGGCGAGGAGTTGTGCCCTTGAGGAAGTTTTGGCTCAGTGGCTTGCAGAACCTCCTTGCCTCGTGGGCAGCCATGCCAGTGACCTTCTTCCACTGGTTGGCAGGCCTCAGTCAGCAGGAGTGATATGCATCTATGACTGAAGGCAACTTTGCTGCATCTGTTCCGTGTTGCCGAAAGCCTGTGGTTTCTGGACCTGCACCACCTCCAGTTCTAAAGCAGCCCCTGCCCCTTGAAGGATCATGCATGGAGCCGTTGTTCAGGAACTATCACGCGTGCTGGAGGGCTTATGGGTGCCCCCTGCATCCACAGCTCAAGCATCGGCAGAACTAGCAGCCGAAGCCGAGGTGGCTCCCTCGCGCTTCCTCTTCTGGACACAGGTCTCCAGCACGTCGGGGGACATACGCGGGAAAGTTGTCTGTCTGGCTCCATCTTGAGAAGCAACTGCCGGTGTCTTAACATCTTCTCGATCCCTCTCGAACCTTTGACGGCCATAGCTGGCGCTGAGACCTGTTCCGGTGATTTGCCATTGCTGCTTTTCCGTGGGCTGTTTTCTGGATACACATTTCTTGGTTCCTTTATCTCGTTGATCTGTTTAATGAAACCCATATTTGGTTTTTAACTGACTTGTACATGCTTCTCCGTTTCTACGCCCATGTCACAAGAAGACTTCTCCCCTCCCACTCTCGGTCCAGCAAGTCTGTCTTCCGAAACCCCACCCAGCCTGAAGAGTTCCGGGTTGAGGCGATATGCAAGCATGTGTACAATCCAGGCGAGAAGCACGATGAAGCATGCTAAAATGCCTAAGCGGGCCTGCAAAATGGCATTTGCATGTTATCCTTGTCAGTTTCGTGAAATGGATAGAATTTCAGAATAGTACTTCCAGGATGTCATCAATCATCAAACGCGGGAGAGGCACGGTCCATTGCAGCGCATGGCCCTCTGATGTTCTGTGGCAGAGAAGTTTCTGATGTGCTCTGGTTGGACTCTTGGACGGCCAGATTGAGGCTCGAGCACAAAAGACTTGAACAGCTCAGTCTTGTCATCCTCGCGCGATGTGTTGTTGTAGACGAAGACGTCAAACTGCTCCTTGGCTCTGAACCCGCCTGGTCACATGACACACAGCTGTTTGGGAGTTATCATCCGGTTGCATACACAGCCTTTTCAAAGCTTTCTTGGGACGATCTGGATAGACTCGGGTTGAGCTGCAGGCGGCATTGCGGTGCTCGAGCAAAGCGTGACAGAAGAAGGACACCTCGATTGCATCGGCAGGCAGGGCAGGCAGCCAGGACTAGGTAGGGTCAAAGGCTCCGGCAGAATGGTGGAAAAAGTCTGGAGAGATGTACCTGTGGAGAATGCGGGGAAGTAAACCACGAACATCGCTTCAATGACAACCGAGCATACAGACTTCAGGGGGCTGAGCAGCACACCCGATTCTGAGTTGCCGCCCAGGTATCTGTTGCGCACGACGGGACTCGACTTGTTGCTTCAGGCAGAAATGGGCGTGGATGCACGAAGGATCAGGAGACATCTTTCCTAGCCTGAGTCGGATCTGAAAGCAGGTTTGAGGGTTCAGGGCGGCGAAGTTAAGTTTGGAAAGGTGGCAGAGAGCCGGCAGCATGGAAGAACAAGAAAATGACAGAAGTCAGACAGCCATGCTGCCCTGCTTGCAATCCTGAAACCAAGTGCCCTGACACCTGCTGTAACACGCATCGGACAGTCAGGGCAAGGCCCGTCAAATACCCTGACCGCATAGTCTCACTTTGACATGGACCCGTAGGTCAAAATCCCGGGCCTTTGAGTTGGACCAACTTGTGAACGGAACACCCACCTCAGTCGAGATCTTTTTTTTTCGGTTTCAGGATTCCAGGCAGAAGAGCAGTAACGACATGTGGCGGACTTTTTCGTCGATTTCTTCGCGCCTCGCGGCAGAAGCGCTCAGCCCAAGCAGTGTGCGCCTGCGTTGGGCAGCCGGGATCGCAAGTCGCTTACCCTATCTCCTTGCCACATTGACTCTTGCTCAAAGGCGTGCCGCCGAAACCCCAAAGGGCGCAGACATCCTGCAAAGGCAATTGTGACAAGCACTGGGGTAGGTGTGGGGATACTCCGGATTGATGAACTTTCCAATAAACTTCTTGCAGACGTTCAACTGCCGTTGGCATGGCTCTGTAACTCCTGCTTCGGTGAACGAAGTTTGAGAAGACTCTATGAATGGTCTGACACCTGATGGCCGCAGTGGCTCTGGCTCAGAACGCCAGACAACGTGCGTTTGCAAAGGAGAAGCGCTGGGTAGGCGGTAGGCGGAGCTGAGCTGAGCTGACATAGATGCTACGTACAAGTGCCAGCTGCCATGCGAGTCAGGTCGCGTGAAAAGAGCCCCCCAAAAAATCCTCTGCACCGATCATCTGCGTTCTCCCCTCCACAAACAAGGACAGGCACCAAGCACAGAAGACCGCAACGAAGTGCACGTGTAAGGTGCGCACTCTCCTGACAAGACAAGCAGCAAAGGCGGCATCAACTTTGCACTCGTAGCAACTGCCGCATCTTCCGACGTAAGCACTGTCAGCGACCAAACTCGATCTGCAATGCGCCTTTCTGAAGACTGGGCAGCGACACACAAAGCCGTGCGGTATGTTCACAATACACCGTCAATGCCGACTTCAGTAATGCCAGCCGCATCCGGTGTTCCCCACTCAGAACTCCAAGAGTGCTTTTCAGATAAAGAGCGACCCGAGGCAGTTTCACCAAGGACATTGCCAATGGTGTAATTTCCATCCTACATCTACGTCTACGTGGCAGGAAACTGCTGCAAACACGCGTTTTGCTTGGTGCTCAGGTAGCTGCAAGGATGTTCACAGAGGCTCAAAGCCTGCGCGTCACAAAGCAGCGAGATCTGGCAGTTAACTTCAGACTGTCGGTTGCAGTGCATGCTTGACCACTTGGCCTCTCGTAGAATCACACAGTTTTCCGTTTTCCACTAGGCTGCAGGCAAGACACTGGATCAGCGGCAAGCTGCGTGGAACGTCTTCGGCACAAGACCAGTACAAGTCATCACCTCATTAGCTGGCTTGGGGCTCCGGACGAGCTCGCGCAACGCTGCCACGTAATTGCAGTCCATGCTTTCAGGCCCTTTGCTCTGAGTCTCGAAAGTCTTCTACCAAACTTGACCGAGAGACTGAACTGCTCGAGCACCAGCTCGGAAGCTGGAAGGTCCAACTCCTTAACGATTGCTACGACCAACAGCAGCGCATGTCGCATACATTTGCAGCCCTGTTTCATGATACGAATGAGTTTTCTGCGTCATCATAACTCCCAACAACAAAACTGTTGGGTTGCAGTCTCTGGGAAGGACGGCACACACCTCCACTGGCTTGTTTGACCGCCAGCCGCAAATGAAATCAACGCGGAAATGCAGGCAGACATGAAGATGGATGTGCACGAATTATGCAGCCGAAATTGGGCCGAAATGATTCGAGAAATGCAGATACGAACGCGGACATGAAGATGGACCTGAAGCAGGAAATGAAGCAAGCCCGCGCCGGATTTTGATTCCAAACGAATCTGGAAATAACCGATACGATCACGAATATGAACACGGAAATCAAGCAGGGAATAATCCACAAAAGAAAACGAAAATGGGGAGCCGCTAGTTAATGACCCAAAGGCGAACACTGAAATTAAGCCGGAATACATTGATCCTGCAAATGACGGAAATGCATCGATTCTGCAACCACAGACAAAACCGGAAATGCAACGGGTATGCAGCAACCGACACGAACGCAGAAACTAAGCTTTTAACATAGCGTAAGTGCATCAAGTTCGAAGCCGGAATTAGGAAACTAAGTTGGTAGTCGCGGAGATGCATCTTTTTCTAATACGGACACGGGCATGAAGCTGGAAGTGACTGAAAAGCACCGCGCCTGGAGCCAAAACGAAGCCAGAAATAGATGACACGGCAATAAAGCCAGCGACGAACACATGTGATGCAGTCGTTCAGCTTCGTCTCCTGATGTTGGAACCTGATTCACAAAGGGGGGGGGGGGTTGGCCACCCCTCGTGGCCCAAAGGTTCGTGGGGAAACCTTGTGTGCACGCTTGGGGGACAGCTGGAACAGTAGCAGTAGGGGTGGTCGTCGTCGTAGTAGTCGTCGTCGTACCGAGTAGTACAGCGTGAGTGCACCGTGATCCGCAGGGTCGGCCAAACGACCGGTCGCACCGAGCAAAACGACCAGCTCTTTTGGTCATTTTGGTCTGGGTTCCCCCGCCCCCGCTCCCCAAATGGTGCAAGTGGCGCAAGTGGTGCAAAACAACCAAAGCGGCCGATTGTTTTGCCCCCGAACCAAAACGACCAAAATGACTGGTCTATCGCAAAAGCAAATGACCCAACACGACGGTTCCCCCAAAACGACCAAGCTGACCAACAAAAAGCAAAACGAGCCCTTTTTGCATCGCCCGTACAATGCAGTAGTAGTAGTAGTAGTAGTAGTAGTACTACTGGTAGTAGTAGTAGTAGTAGTAGTGGCGGTGGCGGTGGCGGTGGCGGTGGCGGTGGCGGTGGCGGTGGCAGTGGCAGTGGCAGTGGCAGTGGTAGCAGCAGCAGCAGCAGCAGCAGCAGCAGCAGCAGCTGCAGCATTGTTTTTTGCTCTAATTGTTAACAGCGTCAGTATTACTGCTAATACATTATTAGAACATGAGAGAGCCTTCAGACTGGCATCTTCGGTTTCGATGAGTCCAAGGTGGAACATGGGCAATGGCTGGCTTGTCATAAGCGAATATGATTGAATATGCACATCTGAATGAACCCCGCAGGGCACAGTTCATGGCCGGGTTGCCCAGGGCTTTCAAGTGGCACCAAACTCGAGTTTGCGCATGTTTATGGCTTCGGGGATTCGCACTGGCAGCCTTCAAACCTGTATGTAATCCTAAACCCGACACGGCCTGTAGCGTTTATGGTGTTAAGGTTTACAGTTTACAGGGTAAAAATTCCTCTTGCAGGCTTTAATACTAGTTAAAATTTAAGGTTTGGGGAACCTTAGGAAATAGGGTCTATCAGATTTTAAGGCTTAGGGCTTCTGGGCACGGGGGTCTCCCTTGCCTCCTCAAGCCGCAAAAGCAGCCGAAGTCCTCGGTGGAATCCTCCCGACCCCTTAACGAGAAGCCCTAAAAGAGCCCTGAAAAGGAACCTATGGAACCCTTACACACTAACTTTCGGGCTTCCTTGAAGTATCTTTTGGGGGCCCACGCAGGAGGCCAATCGTTCCGAAAACGGCTCCTCGATAGAGGCCGGCCAGCCTTGGACAAGGCTCGCAGGCCTTGTTGGCTCTACCCATAGGCTCCTAAGTAGTTCCTTTTTAAGGTTCATATTTAGAATCCTGTAAGGTAATCCCAAAAAGGACCTGCTAAGGAGCCTATGGGTAATTATTCATGGGATGCTGTATGGGTCTTCATCAGAAAGGTTCTGCAGGGTTCTTACAGGGTTTTGCTCAACAGTTCAGGTTTGGCGCGTCAGCTTTTGTTTTCAGGGCTTCATAAGGTTGAGGGCGGTTTAGGGTGGGGTTTGCAGCTTGGGGCTCGCAGGGCTTCGACGGCTCCTAATGAGCAATAACTCTGAAATCTAAATTTAAACCTGGGATTTTGCGTGGATTCCAGGGCCCACTGAATCCACAAGGGCTAACTAATTCGAGATAGACTGCAGGACGCGAGAGCGTGAATCGCCCCCAGTTGAATTGCGTGCTCTAGGCTTCACCTGCTGCCCCAAACTCTACGAAATAGTAGGTAGTGATGACCCGTTTATTGATGGTGCTTCGCCCATGAGGTTTTGGTTGCGGGTTCGGGTTTACGATTCTGTCTTAGCCCATGACCCCCGACAGCTAGAAGATAAAGTCCCAACCGCAGCCTTCAAATCCCGGCATGGGGTTTAGGGTTTCGAGTTATGCTAAAGCCGACTACCTCCAATGCTCTTAGCAAGGAAATGTTTGGATGACTACCACTTACCACACCCCACGCGCAGTGTCTCCGTTGTTCAGTTGTTCTCAGTGGGGAAACTGCGCCCTCAGCCGAACATAGCCAACTCCATCCGAAAACCTCTGAAGGAAAAAAGCTTAGACCATACATCTTATTAACACCCAACTCAAAGGTCCAAATCCTGCACGCTAGTTTCAGCATAATCCTTAGGGGTTTAGGGTTTAGGGGTTTAGGGGTTTAGGGTTCTATTCCCACCTAGAGGAGAGCGACAACGACTTCGTGCAGCCACTCGGGCCCGTGGTGGCTGCGGAGCTCACGGAAGTGGAAGGCAGCGCTGCCTCCCAGTACCTGACGACTTTCTCGTGGGGCTTAAAGTTTAAGGTTTACAAGGCTTAGGTTGAAGAAGCTTGAATTGAAATTAAGGTCTGGATTGGGGTTTGATTTTTTCTTTGGGAGCGGCTTGATTGAGGTTTCGGGACTCCTTACAGTCTTCGGCTTTTAGGCTTTCCAAGTTTGGTGTCTCATGCTTGTTTGGCTTTGAGTCTATGAGTTTCGGGTTGACATGGCG